GGGGGGGGCGTACTGGCAAACATTTATAATCAATAATTAATGAACGCTGCCTTTTTTTTACATTCCTGACTTGTACAGGGATGAATGAAGATATAATACAGGAGGCGAACACTCGTGTGTGTATGGCACCCTCAAGGTTTCCTTTAAGCGGTACTTCGGTAAGTGTATTTATCTTCAAATTTATCTAATAATTCATAACTAACTTGATATTAACCGCCATGGATGCATCCTCGGAGAGTGTGGCAGTATTCGGTGAGCAGTGGATTGTAAGCTGCATAAAGTTTTTTTTGGTAATGAAAGTTCAAATTTGTTTCATGATGACGTCTACACAGATGAACTATCAAGTTTTGACTTTTTGTTGCTGTTGACTCCCATCAGCTTTACCTGACTCGAACAGGAGCAAAGGGAGAATTGGTGGACTTCCGGTTTGCCGACTTGGAAACAAGGTGACGGAATACTACCAACCAATTACAGCAGAGATCCGGGCTCTTGCCAATCACGTCATATCAGGTATACAAAACCGCATTTCTTTGCAAAGAATATGACAATATTGTAATAAGAGTTAAGATAGAAGACAATTGTAATTCTTATGTAAATTGTACGTGCCTTGTATGAAGAAATATTTAAATATCTTAGATTGCAAATAAAAGAAAAGAATATCATTCATTCAGCTCCATCTATTCTTACACTTTGAACTGTTTTAAGAAGCAAAGCTGATGAGACTGTAAATAAGTATACATCAGCCCGTGCAGATGTAGTAAGATACCAGAGTTGTATCACTATTATTGTTCATAGAACTTAATCACCATGACCTGTACTTAGCTTGTACAGTATTAATAAGTGTTTCAAGAAGAGAGAAGAAACCAGAACCAAAAAATAGACAAACAGTAACTTTAAGAATTATGTAGTACTTAGAATCCTAGTATAGAACTCAAACATACATTATGTATGTATGCACCACATGTATTTTATACTGTGACAAAGCATGTATGCATTTAGCCGTCTGGGCAAGGATATGCAATAAAGATCATTTCATTTCATATAATAAAGGTCATTTATTCATCTCCAGGTTATCTCCAGCCAGCCGCTAGGATCAAGACCGCAGTGGATACTTTTTATCAATCCTTCATGGCAGATAGTATTAATATAGGTAAGTACATTTTTTTAGATACAAAAATTCAAAATATCTTGCTTCTATGTTTTTACCTCCAAGAAAACGAAGGAATTGTTCTTTGTGCTTTTTTGTGTGTTTCCGCATATTTGTGGTAAAATTAGGAAGGCATTTATAAATTGTGATGATAATTGGTATTTAGTTTTTAGGTCAAGATCAACCTTCTGGGTCTTCTGGTGGTCAACCTTGGTAATGAAGAAAAACTTCCAGCTTTTGTATCTTTTGCCCTAGACATGCTGTGGACTTGATTGTCTTGTGGCAGATACTTTTTTGTATCAGGAACGATGGTATGAATTTTGGGCCCCTGGGCGTTTAAGAAAATTACGTCACACACACGCACGCACGCACGCGCGCGCGCGCGCGCACACACACACTTCTTATACTTATAGCCCACAGATGAATACGATGTTTCTTTCTACAGGTGTCCACGTGAGACTACAATCAAGTCACGCCGAAGAGATGGCATTCTTTGACCAGACACCTCCAGAACTACACGACTTTGTTCAAGTTGTGCAACGTCTCATAAATGACATCACTGCCAAAAATAAGGGCAGAGAGATTCGCATATACCTGGCCTCTGATCTCGACGAAGTTATTAAGGAATTCAAATCCAAGTTTGGGAACAACAGAGTCTTACACATAGACGCCTTCAGGGGGGAAAGTTTGAATGATGATAGGATACGGGAAGGCTCTCCAAACCTACTGGGTGACCAGGTGTTCACTGACATCTTGCTGATGTCTAAGTGTGACTACTTTGTCCATGATGAGTCTAATGTTGCTTCAGTGACGTACTATTACAACCCCAACCTTAAGAGCTACTATGTCAGTGGAGACGCCTCGGACTTCAGACGACTTAATGCGCAACCTCGTTTCGATTCTGAGGAACTCTTTCGTCAGGCCGTTGTCAGGGAGACGCGCAACATAATCCTACCCGATTGGAAGAATGGCTCACTGTGGGTTGGTCTTAAGGTCCGGGTTAGTTTGCTGTGGGGATTGTTGTTCACAGATGGGGAAAAATACCTTCATGACCTGAGTTGTTTCAGCAAGAACGTGAAATGGAGCTAATGTCGCAGCGAGTTTTTAAGATCAAAGTTTGCCAGTGATAGTGACCTGAAGGAATTGATGGGTCTATGAAGTTGTTGCATGTTCCTAACTACATAATTATGTACACTCAGTCTGTTGTTGTTCGTCCGTCGTTCCCAACGATGACCAAGACATCGGCACGTCAGGTTCTGTGTGTACGACTGTGGCTTACCAGTCCTATACGGTCTTTGAAAGCTTTGCCACGGGTTGGTTGAGCACACTGCATATACTTTTACATGTAACAATGTAATTACCTTAATGTGACACTAACGTAATAAGATTGGAAGAGTTTTGCAAATGAAGTAATGACTAGGAAAAAAAAAAACATTGTACACTGTACCGAAATACCAAAGTCTGCTTGTGGATTTATCATTCAATGAAGCGTATGCGTTATAAAAGTGTCGGATTAAGGTTCATTGCCATTAATATATATATAAGAAACCATATGTGGATAATTATGCATTTACGTATAATCATGTATAATGGTGAAAGGGGTTTTGTATAATTGTGTACTAATTGTGTATAAGCATACATGTATGTAATTGGACTACTCCATAGTGCAATTAATGCATTCTGCATGATTGTCACCCTCTGCTATGTACTCAATACAAATATCAACTTGATCGTCGAGTAAAGCAATCTGGCCCGGAGTCCGAAATTGTTTTTCTGGAAATAAATTGTGGCTTGTTACTTGTGTTTTTTTTATTTTTGGCAATATTCTTAAAGAAACAAAGATAAAGCATCACAAGACTCTATCATGTCAAGTCTATCAACACTCTTTTTATTCAAGGAATATCACCATTGTGGATTAGAAAATAACTTTGTGCAAAAAGTGTGATATCAACATCGTGGGTTGCAAACAAAAGTACATACATGTACATGGTATATATACGACAAGAAAATCTACAATATCAGTAAAGTATGTCATTGAGAGAAACATCAAAAGCTGAAATGAGTTCTACTCATAATTTCCCTTCTAAAGATAAGATACAAAGACAGATACAGTTTGTGTAAGGCCGCGGTACCTGATATTTCTGATACATACAAGGTCACATCTTGAAATGGCCTGATGTGAGCTAAATTGAAACAACAATTCATCCGACATTCTGAGAACAGATTTTATAAATGTGAAATAAGCACTTACTTTAAACAGTCCTATACACATAAGGCATATATTTTTTTAATAACAAAGGTAATTAAAGCCCTTCATTCTGTAGGTCTTGCCATTTTTTCAGAGAAGTTTTTTGTGTGAAGATTTTTACACACAGAAATAGATAATTTTAGTGCACAGAGTGAAGTGGTGTGGCAAGGAACACCTCTAAATGTGAAAGTTTTTTTGACAATTTTGATGACGAAGGTTTTCTGTGTACGTCTACCTCCTGGCGCTACCGCGGCTACTGGCGCTGCTTCCGGCACTTGCTGGTCGGGAGCTGTGCGGAGATCTTGCGCCTCCAGTCACGGAAAGACCCATCCCCAGGTACACCTGTTTCGGCGACGTAACGCTTGCACGGCTCGTAGGTCCAGACCGCACGGAGGACGTTGTCCTACCGGAAAGAAAGACATCGGGGACTGTTAATTATTTCTTCACATGATACGCCAAGGGTGGAAATCTTCCAACACGGACACATTCAATCAACAGCTGCTGCATAATTTTCGATGCTTCAAGAACAACAAATTTTTTTGACAGATCTTTAGTCTGATTCTTCGGTCTTTAGTCCAAAAGTTGATGAACAAATTCTACAGATGAAAGTGCTATGCTTATCTACATACAACTATTTTGTACATATTTGAAGTAACTGATATTGTCACAAATTCATGCTGAGTGTTCTTTGGAACAACATGCCACTGCAGCCTTCTAAGACAATGCCATGCAACCGCATGCTGCACTTCCATGGCAAAAAATGTATCTTAACGTTACTGTCCAAGCCGAACTTCATGTGGATGAAACATAAATAGATGGTCTTTGGCTTTCTTCAACAAGTACTTCCATGCAAAGTTGAGTCACATGCAGTACACATAGACAATGCATTTGCTATTATAACATGGTGTGCACGGTTAAGGTATTTTATATTGAAAGCCATGCCAACAGAAAAGCAAGCTGAACTTTCTGAGCTCCCATGCATTTTGCACTACATTTTGTAAAAGACACCCAAGCCAGTGGTTACCAAGCCTGGGGGGCCTTGGAGGTCTGTTTTCCCCCTCCCGTGTTCTTGCCATCCAGCCCCAAACTCAGGTCTACTTGAGTCGGGGTCTTTAAGTTTCTGCCACTGGGAGGGGCCGATCGGACTGATGGCCTTGGCCTGGAATTATACACTCCCTGTTAGGGACATATATCTGGAGCATCTCAAGATTTTTTTGACCAATAGTTAATTTTTTTGGCCAAAATCGATGTCAATCATTTTAGATTATGCAACATGAGAATGCAAGATGAACACCATTTTTTAAAAGGAAATACATTTTGTGTAGTGTGAGTTTATTTTTTTTTTTTATCAATGTTGAATAGCAAATTCAAAAAGCCTGGAAATTGAGAAATGTTCGTGGGGCTTTTCTGGATTTCCAGAGTCATTCAATCTTGTGAAGTACCCTTGGGTGGAAAAAGGTTAAAATAACAGCAGTACATTTATCATTCTGTAGGCAGCTGCGGGAAATTCTTCTTCCTTTGGACATTTGAAAAGTCACTGGGATGTATTTATTATTGCTTTAGCTTGGAAGTACAAAGTATTTCTTACATAATGCATGTTCACTGTACACAAAAACACATCTATACAGTGCATAGTTGTCAAAGTCTTTCAATTTCTAGCTACAGACTAGCGATTCAAGAGTTTTGAAACTGAAGCTTTTTAAAGACAAAACTATGAAATGGTTATGCCAAAAAACAGTTACTCAAGCAACTGGATATGATTTTGAAAACGTCAGACGTTTCAGCTAGTATCCACTAGCTTTCGTCAGTGACTGAGAGACCAGAGGGGAAAGCAGGTTTATATACACAACCTGTTGATTGATATGCAAATAAAGTGAAGACAAATTTGGAAGTCGAAAAAGGAACAAAAGTCAGACAAGTCAAGACAAGATGATGCAAATTAGTCTGAAAGCTCCTGTTATACAGGACAGGAGCTTAAGTGTTGTCTGTCCTCGGGGCTGGTAGTGCCAAATCCCAAGTGCCGGAAAGATCGACCCGTAGCCCCCCTTCCCTGTTGAGGGTGGGGTTGTACATTCTTTCATATATTGCCTCTTTAACACCCCGTTCCCACCAGCGTGTTTCGCGGTCTAAGACATCCGTGGACTCGAGTTTGAAAGAGTGACCCTGGTTGTGTTGTAGGTGGTGGAAAATAGCTGAGGAGTAGCCGTTGAAAAGGTTACCTTGCGGAGAGCTGTGAGCTGCGGGAAGAAGTCGGGCGTGAACTAGCTCGGCTGCTGGGACCCGACGGGGGAGGGGATAAACCAGCCTGGGGGAGGGGTTAAAGGAAAAAAAAGTAGTTACTTATAAGTGAATGCAAACAGTTGTGAATATTCAAGTAGTTACAATTTATGTAGTTTATGATGTACATGTCTTGTCAACACTAATGGACATTCCTTAATAAACAAATTATTAGTAATGGTACAATCAAACATAACTGTTGAAAAATTTCCAAACAGTTTACTTTGTGAAATGATGTGTCACACAAAAATGCTATCTGGTTATGTATAAGCAGTTGTTAATAAAAAGTACATGTAATCCATCAAATCAATTTCATTCTAATATACATGTATGTGTATAATATATTAATAGCAATTGGCATTGCCACATGTATATAGGATATTATATTGATAAATCAGTTTTCATGTAAGGATTTTCTGCATTTCTATCATAATGTTTTTACCTCCGTGCATGAGCTTTTGTTTTCAGTGTGTTCTGAAATAAGTAATGATATAATGATATATTTATAAGCTTACCTGCTGGAAGTAGAGGTTAATGATGGAGGACAGGTCTTGGTAGGCAGAGCCGACTGTCGCCATCTGCCGCATCACGCCCTGGTTAAAGTCCCGCAGCTCACGCAGGTCCATGTCACGCTGCACGATAAATGTTCAACTGAGTGTTAGAATATCCAACTGAAGCTTTACTAATCTTTGGTGACATACCACAGAACATAGTAGGCTAAATTATTATAAATTTAACAGTGCTATCAAGAACATTCAACTCTCAAGAGTATACAAATACAATGCTTGAAAAAGTGACCTACTTTTTTTGACTACTGGTTTTACAGAATGCTCAAATTAATGGGGAACTGTGCATGCCTTATGAAGACTCATTTGTTCTCATAATGGGGAGAAATTGTGTAAATTTATCTAGAAACATATTTGTGATTGTGTGTTGAGCGAGAAGTCACAATGATAAAAAGTTCCTCTATTACCTCCTCATGTGTTTGTCCTTTGGTCTTCTTTGCTGAACGGATTTCCCTGGCATACCTTGCACACTGCAGGAGGAGAAATCGAATATCATTATTTTTTCTCACATATCTAAAGAACAAGCGAAAGCATGCAACTAATCAAACTTTATACACAAAAAAAAACTACATGCACATGACCTGCACTCAGCTAAGACATACTACAAAATGGAAACAAAAAGACATTCAATATGCCATTTATTATGTCTAGGACATAATCTATAATTTGCCTTACCTGTTTTTCAACCCGTTCAATCTTGGTCCTCTGTTCGTCGAGTTCGCGCTTCAGCTGCAGGACTTTACTCTGTTTCTCGTCAGCGAGGTTCCCGTACGCCGCCTCGTCGCGCTGCAAGTTTTCCAGCGTGCTGGACATGGTCTGGACGTCCTCGTTCAGCTCACGAATCTGCCGCCGCTTGTACTTGTACTTGTCCATGACGGCGCGGAGTTGCTCGTCAAGCTGCTGTTTCTCTTCGTATTCTTCACCTGCAACGCGCAAAAAAATGGTCAGCAAGATTCTTGTTTGATAGGTTTAAGCTTTTGCAGCTATTCTCCAAGAGTATTTGGACTTACATGTATTTGGTTCACTAGGGTTAAGAGTGTTGAAGGTTGAAACAAAAATAAAAGCATGTTTTTAGTAAGTTTCATGAAATCCCACTAACTTATTGGAAGATTTTATCGTTTTAATCATTGCTTGTGATACTGAATGTAGACAAGAGGGTTATGATGAAGATTACAGTGGCATCATTATTATTAGGAACTGAAAGCATATCATATACATCTGCAACATGACATGATATTGTATAAGAAAAGCTAACCTATGTAGTTGTCAAACACAAAAGCTACTAGTGAGCATTACTTACTTGTCTCAGTGACCTTCTGGAAGGACTTGCGGTACGTCTGGTTGCGGTTGTTCATGAGTTTCAGCGTGTTCTCCAAGGCACGGATCTCTTTCTCCGCCTTGCGGATTTTGGCGTCCAACTCATCCCCCTCCCTCTGCAGCTCCTCCTTCTCTTGTGCTGCCTAAAGTTGAAGACACAAAATGAGAAAATTTGTACCTTAGAGAAAGCACACATGTGACATGTAGATATTATTGCCAAAAGACTAAAAGTAGAGACACGCAAGAAGTTATTTGAATCAAGATATCATACTGATTACGTGCCAACAATTACTATACATTTTACAAATTTGTAGCTGGGGATGATAGGAAAATAACTGTTACACAACTCTTCTAAATTTGTCTTACCATCTTGTAACATACAAAATTACCTGCAGCCAATGACTTTTGACTTTGATCTGTGTCTTTCATTTCTTTAGCCACTGAACATAAAAGAAAGTTGCTTTAAATCAATTAGTGCACCGACCTTGATGACATAGTATGCCTGTGACCTCTCCTCCTCTCCCTCGGGAGGAGCCATTGCGACCATCAGGATCTCGTAGCGCTTCCGCAGCTTGTCGATCTTGGAGATCCGGTCATGTAGCTCTGCGCTGATCGTCTGTCGCTCCTCCTCTGCGGCCTTTTGCTGAGCCGCCAACATGTCCCTGTGCACGTTGATTTCCTCCCTACGCTCCTTCATTGCCTAAACACATACAATATGCAAATTAGGGCTAAAGGTCATTTCCCAGAATTCCATGGGTTAAAGAAAAAAAATCCCAGAATTCCCTAGGGTTGGACTATAGTGCTTGCTTCAACCAACCAGAGATCTTCTGTCTCTTACATAGTTATTACAAATTTCCTGTCTGTATTAAAAGCAAGGTGCTATGCTCCAAGATTAGTGAGTGAATGAGTGAAAGAAAGATAAAGAAAACCTACCGTTTCTAGCTGCAGTCTCCTCTTCTCCAATGAGAAGACAGTGTCAGCCTTGCTGTGAAGCATGTCTCTCAGCCGCTTGATTTCCAGCTTCAGAATATTCTCTTCCACCATCAGATCCTATGAAAGAGGGTCAGAAACAGAATTCAAATTCTGCACGACATTTGAAGTCTGGTTATAAAAAAATTGGCAATTTTTACACATCGAAGCAATGCTTTATTCAAGAATGAGCCAATTTTTTTTACCTGTTTCTCTTTGTTCAGGTTGCGCAGCACTCTCTGAGAGCTGTTGTTGTACAGCTCCAGCTCCTCGATCTTGGAGGTGAGATCTGCACATTCCGATCCACGGATCTCCAGATCACGCTTCTGTCGACGGATATCGTCCTGGAAAAATTGTCAATCACAGATCAGTACAGCAACATTTATGATAAAAAGACAATTTCATAGTTCTGTATTTCTCTGACAATTGTGAAAGAAAGCAAAGGCAGCTACATTGTACAATTCCATTTATGATTAATACTCACAGTTAGCTAGGAACAAACATGTATGTTGTATTGGAGAAATATTGAGCAGGGTGTATTCTACTTGCAGTATGATTGCATTCTGAATAGACCTACAAAATTCCAACAGTGTTTGAACCGAACCATTCTGTTAAAATCATAGTAAGAACAATCATCCTTGAGTCTTATCCTTGATCCTGAAAGAGATCAAACATACATGTATCAGGAGGTACAACATGGTGTCAGAAGCGGGATTACCTGTAGTCGTTTCAGCTGGGTGGTCAGCAGTGTGTGGGTGGTGTTCCTGTTGTCCAGGACTTCCAGGAGTTCTTTGATCTTGGCCTCCAGCTGTATCTTCTCATCGTGGCTACTCTCTCCCATCATACGGTTGATACGACGTTCCAACTGCTGAATCTGGAAATCCTGGTAAACAAAGAAATAGAACATGTAAGACCCTATATCTAGGAATGTCAGGTAATGTCACACGATTGTGCTGAGAACATCAAATATCATAGTATTACAGCACCTTCATCACAACACTGCTACAACAGTGTACTTGTGATACCAAATAAATCTTGGTTGCTTTATTTTTTATTTTGATCCTCAATGACCCATTTTTAAATCAAATGATGAGCAGTTGATGAAAAGTACATTGAATTGCTTCTCTCAGTAAGGTAATGCAACCAACTGATTACAATGTTATTTTGTAACAGAATACTACAGATTTACATAATGGATACAAAGATTAGAATGAATTCCTGACTGTCCAGGCTGAGTTGATGTCGTCTGTTTTCTTACCTGGTTGTAGATGATTTCCTGCTGCTGCAAGGAATCATGGTCTAGCTTGTTCAAACGGCTGGTGAGGTTCCGACTTGCCGCTCTGGCACCCTGGGATAGAGAGAAATGAAACCTTCATATGAAAGCATTGTTGAAAAAGTCTAATAAAAAAAATTATAGTCTAGATTTAACATTAATGTTTGCATGAAGGAAAACACAATTTGAAAAGACTTGGAGCCTGATACTAACCATTCCTTCATAGATTTTGTTCCTTTGTAGAAAGTTTTTATTTACATAGAAAAATGTAACACATTTGCAGATTGTTGAGCCATTTTATATGCTAATGTAATGTTTTGTCATATCTTGTCAGCAGGGCAAGCCCTTTGTAATAGCCACTGGCTAGTTGTGTGCTGCCCTGGCTGTGAGGGTTGAACAGCCAAACCAATAAATGAATGATACTAACCGTAATCTCAGCGTGTGTGTGCCGTTCCTGTTGCCTGGCGTTGTGAAGCTCCTGTGTCCGTTTGAACTGCACTTCCCTCAGCCTGCCCAGGTCTGTCTCGATGTCCTTGATCTGGTGTTCCTCCTCCGCCAGAAGCTCGTCCATGCGCAGGGCGCGCTCCTCTGCGCTCAGCTCGGACTCTGTAGTAATCTTCAGCTTCTCTGTCAGCTGTTCACGGAGTTCTTGAGCAGCCCTCAACCTGAAGGCAGTAGACAATGTTGTTATAATTGTAAACTCATTTATTTTCATGGGGACTTCATTTAACGGTAGAAGGAGAAGTGTTTCCACAGTGCTTCAAGTTTGTGGTAGAAAAAAATTCAATGGAATGACATATTTGTTGTGAAATGGTCCCTGCAAAAATATAACCACCACAAAAGTTTCAAAATTTACAGCACTGTTGTACCTCCTCTGTGGCCTTACTGGCAAAATGGAAGAGATAAATGAAAGGCAGGGACACCCCATATTTTTCTGTTCAAGGTACAGTCTTATCATTATTAACATCTTACTCATCATTAATATCTTACTTGTCGTTTTTATCCTCCACGTCCTTTCGCAGGTTGGTGACCTGTGTCCGCATGCTGTCTAGATCCGACGCTGTCCTCTCAACAGTGTACTTCAGGGTCTCCAACTGAAAGAAAAATGAGAAAGTTAATATTAAGAAATCTCTACACTGTTTAATGCAAGTGTAGGTAGCAAGTAGTTATTAACTCTTAAGGACGTATATTTTAAAATGTAAATGTTTTTCAAGAATATTTACAAATCTTATTTTCCATACAAATTCTTGCTGCGTGCTGGAAACTTGACAAATGTGTGCCTTTAACGGACGTCCACAGCTAATCAATGCCTAATTACTGCTCTTTTCTGGCCTGCAGTTTTCTCATAAACTACTAGATGGCACCTGTGAAAAGTAAAAACAGTCATGCTGTACCTCATCCTGAAACTGAATACGCTGTGTCTCCAGATCCTGGTACTCCAGACGCAGTTTTGCAGCCAGACGCTCCGAGGCACCGATCTTCTTCTCCATCTCCTTGTTGTTCTCGGTCTCATTTTCCAGAAAACTCTGCTTTTCCTTGATGGTGTCTTCTGCACCGCGCACCTCGGCTTTGACCCGGGCCAGCTCCTATGGAATATAATGCATATTAGTTAACACACATATATAAACATACATGTCTATACCTGTCTTTTATATGTCTATGCCTAAAGATATTGTATAGAGTTGAATTACATGTGGATTAGATTACACTCGTGAATGCCTCTGTATACTGTAAATCAGGATTTTTCACGGTACTTTATATTTGCGGTTTTTGCAGTCACTTCTGCACCGCGAAAACAATTTGCCGACTTTCTGTCTGTTTGCAGCAACTGCCACCACTGCAAATGTATAGTTTTCTCAGACTACAAACTTTTGCTACCATGAACATAAAGTGATTTACAGTATGTCAGCAAATGATTCTATACCGGTAGTTCAGGAAAACTGGCTACTGGTCAAAACATGATATGCTGAATCTAGGTAGGTTACTCACGGCAGCGTTAGCATCCATTTCCCGATCACGCTTCTGCATCTGTTCTATGGTCTGCTCCCATTGGTGGATCAAGTCCTGGCGAGTCTCGTGAGCCTTCCGAAACTCTTCTGCCGTTTTGTCCAGCTCAATCTAAAAATCATTTCATTTATTTTGAATCCATCAAAATATAACCAAAGAATAGTATACATTGCTGTGTGTTAGTGTATGAAAACCATCAAAAAGTGTATTTCAAGTCATACTGCAATAAAACCATTGTCTCACTTAAACTTCAGGTTATTTTCATAACAAGGTAATTCTGAGCCTACATGTATGCAAAGACAAGTTGGATATAAATTGAATAGAAAAATTTATGATATCAAATTATGCTTGCTGGGAATAAATGCTGGTTGGGAATAAATGTCATACCTGTGCAGTGAGTGTCTCTGTTGTCTCGTGGTCCAACATCCTCCTTTTGCGGATCATTTCCTCCGTCATGCGCTCCATGCGGAGGGAGAGCTCCTTCCCCTTGGCGTCGTCCTGGCGCGTGTACTTGGCGAGCGTCATGGCGTCCTCGTCTTTCCGTGCCGACTCCTCCAGCCACGCCTCCAGAGCCTGCTGGTTCCAGTTCATCTGGGCCTTCAGCTCCTCCAGACGCTGGGTCTGTCTGAATATCGTGTTCTAAATAAAAACAAACAAACAAACAAAAGCTGTGTTAGAGTCTATTCTGGTTCCAGTTCATCTGGGCCTTCAGCTCCTCCAGATGCTGCGTTTGTCTAAATATCATGTTCTAAATAAAAACAAAAAAACAAACAAATAAACAAAAGCTGTGTTAGGCTCTATTTTCTTGCCAACATTACAGACAAAGGAATCACCCAGTTTTCACACCATAACTGTGTTATAAGTTTAGATTTATATCTAGCATGCAGTTCAATACATTTTTGGTAGGTGGCACTATTTGCCTGTTGCAGGGACTGAGGCAGGTTTAAATAATACATGTACCCCTACTTTGCAAAGAAAAAGATGAAATGGAAATACATGTTCATGATCAAGATAGAATGGAAACACAGAATGACAAGTACACAAGATATATGTTATTGTAGATGAATGTTTAACTTCTTAGGAAATGTTTGGACAAAGTACCTCAAAGACATTTTTCTTCTCCAAGAGTTCGGTTCTCTCGTTATCGAGCCGTGTGATCTCCTGTCCCAGACGCCCCTCCTCCCTCTCCGCGATCTGCTTCATGTGATCCTCCGTTTCTATCTCATTGTCTCGGGCACGACAGAGACCCTGGGTATGACAACAAAAAACAATCAACATACATTCAAGATACATCAATTTAACTGAAGCATACTTGCAATTCAACTGTCAAACCAGAAATGCATTCATGCATGTACCATTACTGTAACATAACTTTCATTTCCAGTTACTGACATTTTTGGTTGGCTTGGCAGAGACATTGTACAAGAAGGACTGGGCTCGCAATTAACACCCCGCGGTGGCCATTGTTCCGCCGCGCCGAGTCCCGCTGCGTCCCTTTGTCTTCACGCCCGCGCGGCCCCCGATTGATGTCAACGTTGGACTCACCCTTTCGCGGGGTTTTCGGCCGAATCATGACGTTGGCATAGCTAATGAGCAGCACCATGACGTCATGGGCGCCGAAGCCTTCCGAAGACTACTTCGCTACCCCTGCGTTTTCTGACAGTTTCCTTATTTGGGTTGCGCGGCTGCCATGTGCAGACATCGGCATCGCGTAGAGAAGAAAATGTCGGAGATTTTGATGTTTGTTTCATCGCCGTACGACAAACATGGACAAGTTTACAGCCGTTTTCGTCGAAGTCACTTATGTTTTCAGCCGTAAAATATGTAAGACTAGAGTTCCCCGATCTCATACCTTCGCCAAATGATGTTAAACTTTATGACTGACAAATTATAGATTAGATTATTCCCCCCTGATTTAAGAAATAGGAACCTAATTTTCATGAATGATATCATTTTATTATAATCTCAACCAAAAGACAGTCTTATATATATTAACAAACAATGCATTCTAGCATTTCCTAATAAATTATGCAAATGAGGTCCTGATTTGAATAAATTATGTTTAATGATGTTCACGTCAGCTAAACTTTCAAATACCACAAGTATGAAATTCCAGGCAGTTATCATTACATAATTATAAAATTTTCTCATTAATTATGCAAATTAAGTCATTATTAACATAATCAATATCTTCCTGTGTTTCTCTCATTGTCAATTACCAATGTCACAAGCTTCAATTGTCCTATCATGGAATGCAGCTGATTTATAGAATTTCCTCATAAATTATGCAAATTAAATCCATATTTGCATAATTGTCACATAATTATATTAAACATCGCGTAAGCTACCTACATACCAAAAATCACGACGATCCGTCAATCGGTTCTTGAGTTATCCCCTTTTGAATATTTTCAAGAATATATCCCTGCAGTTCTAGAGCAAGCCGCTAGGGGGCCCAAACTCACGTCACTTCTTTCCCAGCACAAGAGCTACTTACCATCCAAATTTCGTCACTCTAGCATGTCTAGATAATGAGATATCAAAACCGGAAGTTCAGCTGCAGTACCATAACAAGCCGCTAGGGGGCCCAAAATCTAATCATTTTGAGGTCTCATCAAGACCTACCCACCTACCAAGTATGAAGACAATCCATCAAGGCCTTCTCAAGTTATCGTGTTTACAGACAGACAGACACACACACACACACACACACATACACGAACGCCCCTGAAAACATAACCTTCTTGGCGAAGGTAAAAATACACAGATTTTATCTCGCTATAATGTTGTTACGCCGTTTTTCCTGTATTAGTGAACGTTTTTCTTTGAATGTACGGACCTTTTTGTTTACATTCCTGTACATTTTATCGGCGGTCGTTGTCGATTTTTTCCGGTCGCTGGGTTCAAACATTGCACCATGTTGTAGGAAATTCTGTAGATGGACTTGTACGGCGGTCTTAGAAAGTCATGGGAGAAGATCGGGTCCGTACTTTAGGGGTTGCATTTTCCGAAGCCAAGCGGAAGATCGCCATTTATGTACCAGAAACGTGCACCAGGGACATGTCCAGACATTCATGCTTCATATACTAGTACATGTGGGTTCCCGATCTTATCTAGTCCGTGTCTGCTTGTATTTTTTGGCAAAAAAACAGAAGCTTGGCACGTTCTGTTTGTTTCTTGGGGCTTTAGTTTAAAACACAGAAATATGGAACACCCGCTCGCGCTAGTGTGTAACTTTACATTCAAGCAAAGGTCCCTGATTTACTGTGTAGTACTACGTGTGTGGATATATCCCCCTCCAATTCTTCAAAATCATACTAAATATTATTTCAATCCTCAAAATCACTCCAAACTTGCTCCAAACAATGTGCCTGTCGCCCGGTCGCGGCATCGTAAATTTTCTAACAATAGCGGGGGCTGCTTGTGGGCGCTTTGTATTTATGTAAATCAAGGGGTAATCGGCATATAACGTTAGGTGTCAATTGTTTTTTCACACATGAGTCGAACGTTGCTGAATAGTGACTAAATGCGACCCCAGTCCTTGTGTATAATGTCCTTGGCTTGGTAAGATTTTTTTTGGGGGGGGAGGATCCATTACACACGTGTTGGAGGCTTTTTGTTTGGGGATTCAGCAGCTCATCTGTGTGTGCAGTTGGGGTTCTAGTTCTAGTTAGGGTCAGATTTAATAACATTAATCTATGTCAAGGGGTTCTTTCATAGGGGGAGTTTTATTAACACACCTGTTAGCTATTAGGGAGGTTCTTCGCCGGGGAGATTCATTAACATTTAACATTGTATGGGAGGTTCTCTCACAGGGGGAGATTCACTAACACCACTGTGTGGGAAGTTCTTTTATAGGGGAAGTTCATTCACACCTCTGTGTGGTAGGTTCTTTCATTGGGGAGATTCATTAACACACCTGTGTGTGGGACAGCTCTTGCTGCACGTTCTTGAAGTGCGCCCTCATGGCGTGGATACGGTCCTCATGTTGTTCTGACTCCTGCTGGAAGCGGACCAGTTCACGCTGCTTTCTCGTAATCTGTCAGTGGGAGACAATTTTATTAGTGCACTGTTAGTGGACATATATACCCTCGTAAGCATCATTAGAACGGATATGCCGTGATCACACACATACAGTATACACACATACACTTAAACAAATTATAGACAATAGTAAAGTATTAGCCACAAAAAGTCTTTAACAGCTAGCCAATTCTTTATATACTAGTAATTAAAGGAACTGGTATTTCAAATTATTTTAACATATTAGATCATTGCAAAAATCAGCACAGGATGGTCAAGTTTTACTACTTTAGATTTCAGAAGTGCCCTGAATTAATTAACTGAAGAAATGACAGTAAAATTATATTTTTCTTTCATAACTACTAGTATGATAGTACAAAACTTTATGACTTTGAGACAGTTTGCGAATGTGCGGTGAAAGTGAATTATGCGGATGTTGATTAAAATCTGATTGAACGGGTGGAATTTGTGACACAGAAAAAGATGAATAAAGGAGTCAAAACATTCGAATCTTACCTCCTCTTCCAGCCGTTTGTTTTCGGCGTTGGCGACGGGCATACTGAAGCCCTCGTCCCAGCCGATATCCGACAACAGCGACCTGATAGAACCCTCCGGCATCTTTGGTAGTCTTTCCCCTTTCTATAAAGGTCGCAACAGTATCAAAATGATATTTCAGCAGGTGAATTTACGGTGAAAAGTGGTAAAATCGCCGACAGTCTTTAGTTTCACGCCGCCATCTTAGTATTTACAACGTTTGCTGTGGATACCAAAAGGTCCCGGATGTTGGTTGCTGTCCACTAAGAGCGCCTCTTGCGATAAAAGGTAAAAGTGCAGCTAGCCCTCAACCCAATCCTTTTACTGAGTCATGAGTCAGCTATTCATAGCACATTTGCCCGCCCCAAAGCCCTGAGTATTAAACTTAAAGAGGGAATCACCACTAACTATCCCCAAAGTTTTGTGCAATATTGCATGGACTTATATACTATATTTGAGAGTCAAATAACCGATATTACAAGCTGGGTACGTTACCTGATGCTTGGTTATTTAAGTAGTCTGAAAAATTGTTCGAAGAAGTCTAGATCTTGATCGGAAGCATATAATATTTTCCGGGCGATTAAGATATTTTACTTATAGGCAACATTTTTACTTGATTATGTCATATGTCCGCTGAAGTTAAGCGTATACTCTTTGTAGCACATTGTTCCCCCATGTACTGCGTACAACTATGGAACAATCATAGCGCAGGTGTGTTGCAGAGGCTGCGGGTTGCTTACCATGATGCTTTCAAAATCATTATGTCTCAGCCTCGCTCCACTAGTAACAGCTTGTTCTTTGCCCAGTTGGGTGTCGACACCTTCGACGCCAGGAGGCGAAAGCTGACGCACTCTTTTGCGGCTCGCCTCCTGGCGTCCGGTAACGGCATCATCAGTTTGCTCTTACGCTGCCTTCCCCAGAAGTCAGTTTTGGCGTCGGTACTGCCAGTTGGTATGCAGACCTTAAATAGGCCCCGTTTCTTTTATCCTAGACACCGTATCTTTAAATTTATGTATTTTGTGTTGTCTATGTTGTATATGGGCTTTGCCTGAGCTTCGAGTCAAACAATAAATAAATAAATACTAGTATGTTCTTTGCAGAGTAGCCATATATGAATATATGCATTATAGATATCGATCTTTCTTAAACTTGTATACGTATGTGCCTCAAGGCCCACTAGTATATACTGAAGTATGCGGATCCTGATTTGTGACCGTCCATAACAAAATTCGGTCTTATTAAAAATGCAAAATATATATGTTGAACTTATAATGATGTGTATGAATCATGGAGGGACATTGAAACCGGACGCCATAACCGCACTCCCCTGGAACAACGAATATGTAGGTATTGTAATCTAAATAGGATAGAGGATGAGGAACACTTTGTATTAGAATGTAGTTTATACAACGAAGAGAGAGCAGAGCTTTATAAACTATTGCAATGTATGTTTCCCCATTTCATACATCTTAGCAACGCAGATAAGTTCATATTTCTGATGATTTCAGACAAACCTTCGATTATAAAACATATCTGTACTTATATCTACATCATTACTAAGAAGCGAGAAGAAACCAAATTATCGTAATTATTAGACTATATGTCCATAGTACATAGAATTAGCACTAGCTTGTACATTGTATATATTCATTGCAAACTGTGACGTCTTTCCTGTGACCTGTACTGAACCCAGTGGGTATTTGCGTACAATAAAGGTCTTCATTCATTCATTCATTAGTAAGTAGCCTGGCACTTGATGCGGGTCATCAATCATTAATAAGTGAACGACGATGCATGTGCAAAATTAATCTGGTAATCGGAATCCGATTAATTCACTCAGTACTGAAGTTCCAGATTCAGTACCCGTTATTAAAATTTCAGACCATGTTCGCCTTAGAAAAGAATTTCAAGCATATAGTGAGTGGGGATTGGTGTTTGAAAACCACCGGAGTGGTCACAGGTGTACAGCTGAACTGATCGTACGGTCGTTGACCTTAATGAGGGCCTGCAAGGGGGGGGGGGGGTCCCGACAACGCTCTACACTGAATTCGGAAACCTCTCGATTACGCTTTACGATAAATTCCAAGTGGCTACGTAAAATTAAAACGCCGAATACGCTCTACGCAAAAATATTAGAGCGGTCCGTCTACACTCTACGTGGAATTAAAACGGCCGATTACGCTCTACGGAAAAGGGCTTGCGGGCCCCCCTTAATTTAGGGACACGCAGCACGAAAAGTGCAAGTCATCGTGCGAGTGTACATGTGTGGTCTGGCTCGTCACGAGTGATACAAGATACTCAGGACCTCATCATGACTGAGCAAAAATTTAGTTCGCGTGTATAAAGCGCAGCGCGGGAAGAAGTCTGGTTGATTCAGAGCTAGGGAGAGCTTGAAGCCTGACCTTGATTAGCATAATAGTACCCTGACACTCAATACCTCAGGTAACGCTGAACGGTTACACTGTAGGTGCTCCAGGGGCAAGTCGCATCTGAGTCAACTAGAAATCGGTAAGCATGGTACTAAATCTTTTATCTTCAAATATTGAGGTATTTGAGTAATCGTAATATCATGTAAGGATATGGGATAATCTATTGTGCATTCTAATTCTTCTAAATCTGGCTGTACACTCTAAATTGCTACAACAAAGGACATCTGAAATTAACCACTTGTTGATGCATGTCCTTGATGCTTGCAACTGTACCTTTCATTGTGATATGGTTAAATGCTATGGTTAAGGTAAATATCTTTTAAGAAGAAAGTAAAAACTATTTTTTTGCTCCGAGACAATTCTTTAAGCTGCAACAGCATGGTGCGTTTTGGATTGTTTACACATAAACATTATGCTGGTCAAATGTACACGAAAGAACCATTTTTGGCAACGCCCTAGGGGCGGAGTGTCTTGTAAAAGCTGAAGCATATCCAGACTCTTACTTCACTAATACTTTTTTTCTAATTGCAGAAAAGTGAAACAACATGGGATCAGGTCCATCCTTGCTGCAACGTGAGGACATCCACGTTGTGATTGTGGGAGGAGGCTATGCTGGCATTCAGCTTGCCAAAAACCTGCAGAAAAAGGCTAGGGTGACCCTGATTGACCCCAAGGAAATGCTTTACCACAATATTGGGGCTGTGAGGTCCTGTACTGAACCAGGTCAGTGTTTTTCTAATGTTTTTATATTGAAAACGTGTTGTGAGTTTTTAAACTGTGCATAGTGGTCTTGCATATACACATTTGTAATATAATTATGTACATGTACATGTGTTATACTGATAATCTTTCACATACTAGTATCCTTATGCGTACATATCTCACACATAAGCTTTATGAATCTCAATACAATGTTTATCATTATTTGCATAATCATCATAATCTAACTGAATTCTTTCATTCAACAGGTAACATTAATGACTGAACTTTGGTTCAATGTACTGGTGTATGAAATTGTGTAATTTTCTTTGTTCAGGCTTTGCTAAGAGGATCCTGATGCCGTACGCCCCAACTTTTGGCCAGAACTTCAAGCAAGGCACTGTTACTGCGATCAACGCTGCGGAGAAGACAGTTGTCCTTGCCAGCGGTGAAACGGTCAAGTACAGCCACCTTGTGTTGGCGACGGGCTCCACAGGTCCCTTCCCTGGAAAATCGCCGGACGAACTGACTTCAATCGCAGAAGTCACGGAGAAAAGCGAAGCAGTTCTCAAGCTGGTAATTCTAACATGCATGTATATTGTAATAAAGCCATACAAATGTACTGTCCAAGCAGAGGTTGATGGGGGAAGATCGTTAGCTTTGGTTGGGGTAGCGACAAAAAAAGGGCCATATATAAAAAGCTAACGATCTGCCCCCATCAACATCAGCTTGGAGAGTAATAAAGAGAGAGCATTTACACATTTTCAATGTATATATTTTTCATGCATATACATTTGTAACAATGCTTAAGTAGCATCAAGGGGTGTATGGGGTGTCAGGGAGGGTCAGTACCTCTGCAGGGGAGTGAGAGGGAGTAGCATGAAGAAATGATTATCATTATGGTAACCCTTAGGGAAATGTTTATTGCCATGTAGCCTTTGTTCATGTCTTGTGTCTTGCAGGTGCAAGCAGCAAAGAATATTGTCATCATAGGAGGAGGGGCTGTAGGGACAGAGATAGCAGGAGAGATAGCTACTGACTACAAGGACAAAGAGGTACATGGATGATATGGCTTTATATATGTTTTTTCAAGATATCTTTCCTAAAGTCATATCTAGCTTCTAATATTATACAGATATAATCATACCTTGATTGCCTTTCCTGACCGGATTATCTTACAGTTACAAATGTAACATGATGCTGTTGACTACTATCAAATTCGAATTCTGAAATTGTTGACCTCTTTTAGGTGACATTAATCCATCCTCATGACAAACTGGTGAGTGGTGAATCCAGCGATGCCTTTCAGAAGAGATTAAAGGAGATCCTGCAGGAGTTGGGTGTCAAGCTGGTGTTGGGTAAGCCTATAGTCTGTCAGATATGCTACATATTGAATGTCATATGGACTTACAATAATGTAACGCTCTACCGTACTCAGGTTGTCCCCAGAATAAAATTCAGAAAGATAGTTCATAGGTTAAGATCTAAAAAGGGAAAAAAAGGTACAATGTATATATCTAAAAACCAAAAGTACTAGACAAAAAGAGGGTGATGTGTTGTTTTCAATCAGCTATGTATAAGTCGCTTGTATCTAACAATGATGATGTTTTGCCAGATTGGAAATGGCTTCTCTGTATCTCTGTATCAAAATTACAAGAAAGGATGCTACTGGGTACATGTTACCTGTTTTTTTTTTTTTTGTGTGTAAGACTTTTCATGTTGAAGTGTTGACATGTCGTAACAGATGTAACAAATTCTTAAGTATTTTGAGAGCATTAATAACTAACTCTTTGTTACTCTTGTTCAGGTGAAAGAGTAACAAACCTAGACGCACTGCCAACAGACAGAGTGGAGACAGCTACAGTAACCACAGACAAGGGGACAGAGATATCAGCTGACCTGGTCATCCCATGTACTGGACTGAAGGTCAACAGCATGGCCTATAAGGACAGTCTGGGTAAGACTAAATTCTAACAGCAAATATGCACTAGTTAAGACATAAGACATGTCTTTAGTAGTGGTGTTTGAGGTCTAAGACCCTACCCATCTTGTCATTTATTAATCACTTTTGTAATGCATCTAGTGTATGTTGAAGATACATGTGAACCTCTCCATACTCTCTATGAAGTATGGGGAGTAGTCAGCTGTTTTTTAATGAGATTTATGTCATCTCCAAACAGATATTGAAGTGAAAGATCATAACGTTTATTGGCTAGTAGGGTTACCACATGTTAGAGAAGCCAAGCAGCCAGTAAACTTTATGCTTTCCACCCCTGTATCTGCTTGAATAGAATCAAGATTTATTTACATATTCTTAGAATGTGGATCTTGCTTTTTGTTTGCAACTTCCAAAATGTGATTTTATATGTATGCATGCATATGTTGTGTGTCTGTCCTTGGTGCTGAACACCATGTACACAACAAAATAGTTCTGTCCTTGGTGCTGAACACCATCCATACTGTAACACTGCTGTAATACCACAGTATATAAAGAGGTCTCTATTTACATATAACTCTAAAATTGTTTTCCAGCCTCAAGTATGGAAGACAATGGCAGCCTAAAGGTCAACAACTTCTTTGAGGTGCAGGGGACAGAAGGGATCTATGCCATCGGAGACTGCAGCAACATCCCTGAGACTAAGATGGCCTACAGAGCATCCATGCATTCAGATCTGCTGGCTAAAAACATCCTGGCTCAGGAAACTGGAGGGACCAAGAAGGAGTACAAGCCAGGTAAGCAGCGCCATCTAGTGAAATCTTTATGCACTGCATGTCATAGATCTTTTGTATGAGATATTCATTAATTGGAAAGATATGGTTGGTAACCTACATGATTGGTTAAATCTTATGTTATATCTAAATTCCTATTGAAGCGGTATGGTTAAACCATGCCTATCTTGCTTTCCTTTCAGAATGTAGAAAAATTGTCAGTTTTGGAATGCTGAAACTACATAATGATATCATATTGCTTTACCTTTCATACATCATATTCAGATCATGTGACAAATACTCTACATTTGCATGTGCGTATACTAGTAGTAGATGAGACACAATATGGAATAATATGTTTAGGATCAGGGCTGGGGGGATAGAAGACAGAAGAATAGGAGACAGAACTATATGCAATTGCAACGTTTCACTTTGTGTTGTTGTAGAGAGTAAAGACTGGCATTTTGTTTGTTTTTTCAGACCCTTTCATCATGGTAGTGTCTGTTGGTCGTAAGGCTGCGATAGGACAGAAGGGCACATCTCTCCTGCCTGAATTTGTGGTCAGGATGATGAAGGCCAGGGACATGATGACTGGCAAATTCTGGAAGGAGATGGGACAGAAACCCCCTCGTTAGATCCCAAAAATAGTTTCATCCGGTTGGTAGAACTCAGGATATTGGGATTCCTTCTTTTTCACAACTAGGAATGTCTCTTACCTTGCTTACATTTTAGTGTCTATCAGAAGCTCTGAGGAAGGTGTCTGGTAGACATGGAAATGTAAGAAAGAGACATTACTTTTTGTGAAAAAGGAAATCCCCAAATCTGATCACCCCCTTGTCAGACGTTGCATGAGCAAAAACTATTCTTGCCTTCTTGTGGTATTTAGTTAACTGTTGCAACTGACCAGTGTTCTTCTGTATGATATGTCTATTCCACAGATGTTCTAGTTAAATGTTTTGTGGTATTTGGTATTTCTATGTTATCAGGGTACACATTAATATCTAAATGTCAGGGTACATATCATATTTAAATGTCTGAGGTACTAGTAAGCTTTAATTGTTGATAAAGTTGAGTTGGTTAGAATACAGGTGTAACAGACAGACGGACACACACACACACACACACACACACACACGCACACACGCACACACACACACACACACACACACACACACACACACACACACACACACACATTATCAACACACACTGTGATGAAAAGACCTGGAGATGATTGCTGTGTCATGGACCCCTGCAGCAGTATAATCTAATTATTATATTGGATACTGCTATGTACTAATACATGCACACACGTGCACAAGGCATGTAAAATACATGGAGGTTTGGAGAAAGTCTGATATGGAGAAAGTCTGATATAGAATCCATAACTGCATCTACATGTATTTATACTACCCATGCTGTATTTGATAAAGAATACTTGGTACCGGTGTTAACATTGGTGTGTCTGTCTCATTTTTGATCATGCCTAAACACTTCCAGTCATCCAGACTTCAAACCATTAGGACATCAGCGATGACAGTCCTCACCCCTTTTATTACAAGTATTACAATATTTCTTTATAAGATTTGAGGAGAAAGCCCCTTAAAAGTTTAATTGAATTAGTTTTTAAAGCCGTTTTGTTTTACCCACCTTCTACATGGAGGCAGCCATCTTGGAAAGTCTCAGTACAACAGGCCCCTGCTGTGTGAAACGAACTCACCTCTCACTCAGTCAATGTCAAGTACATGTAAATGGCTAAACAGAAGGTAGGAAAGGCCAAGTAATAATAGACTCTCAAAAGTTTATAACCCTGCTGGTTTCTCTTTTTTTAAGATGAATCTGTGTTTGTTGCTGTAAAGACAGCAGCCATAATTCGAACAGCAATGTACATATCACGTCAGTACCAAGGACAGCACCAGAGCCTTCAACAAAGAATCTAGAAAAAGAAAGCTGGCACTTTTCGCACTCTTTTTTTTTCATAAAAGAAGGCTAACTAACATACCGACATGATTTTAACACGTGTAATGAAAACTGTCCACAAACCACATTTTATAAGTCTTTTATTTTGACTTTTATAAAACCTAATTTCTATGCATGGTGGGTAGAAAGCAGCATCAGGATGGATTAAAATCTTGTACGTCATACGTTTACGTCGCCCAATACATCTTAAAAACCGCTGCGTCTTTCTAAAGAAGACGCTAGATAGCCACGTACAGGTAAACAATACGGTACCACCATATATTGGTTATATATGCCGCTTTTCCTAGACACTAACACAAAGGACTCTTCAGTGGCGCGATCGACTGACTCTCATGTTGCATGCTATGAATAGGTACTACGAAGCCTAAATTGTGCTTAATCTAAGAAATGTGCATAAAACATAAGAAACTACGTTGCTTTTAAAGCATCTGTTTGTCGTTACAAGAATAATATATTTTCTATGACCCTGTAAGTACTTGAACGCACCCGTCCGTGGTTCGTAGGTACAACTCAGTTTTACTTGGGAGGTTTCTGGCCCATGAGTCCCCAGTACCTGCTGACGAACATGCCCTTACTCTTGATGTTGGTGGCCATGAAGGTCGGCGTCAGGGACGAGCCCCACTGGCCTGCACCGTCGGCTCTCCCCAGGCAGATCAACAGGAAGAAGGAAGCTTCAAAAGAGACGAAACATGAGAAGAATGTTAACAATACAACTAAGGGTAACTATAGGTTATAGAATCATGTGGTGGAGCGTTCACTTATGTTGTCACATGCGTTTTTGTTTTATTACCTTCGCCAAGAAGGTTATGTTTTCAGGGGCGTTCGTGTATGTGTGTGTGTGTGTGTGTGTGTCTGTCTGTAAACACGATAAGGCCACACCAAGTAAATTTTATGGATGACGTCCGCGCGCGCATTGATTTTGACCTGTTCCTAGAAAAAAAAACAAGAAATCCCGCTTCCTGTAACTATGACCAAAGAGTCACGACAGTGCCCCAAATCGTTAGATCGACGTGAAACCCGTAACGCGAAATGGGTAAAGAGCACATGCTTTGTTTCTGCAGGCCTGCAAAAATGTGAAAGAAACAGGACAGGACGACAACTGCTGTTCCACCTGATTTATTGCTGTTTTGATGATGAATAAAAGACTTCTTGCTTGTATACACTTTGTCACCTCATTCAATTTGTCGTCTCTTAGTATATTTCTAATCTAGGCATCTTGTTTTTTAGGGCCCTTCTTGTTTTTTTTCGCCCTCTCGCATTAGATATAGGGTCTCCAAAGGACGTCATCCATAAAATTTACTTGGTGTGGCCTAACTTGAGAAGGTCTTGATGGATCGTCTTGATACTTGGTAGGTGGGTAGGTCTTGATGAGACCTCAAAATGATTAGATTTTGGGCCCCCTGGCGGCTCGTTATGGTACTGCAGCTGAACTTCCGGTTTTGATATCTCATGATCTAGACATGCTATGGTGATGAAATTTGGATGGTAGGTAGTTCTCGTGCTGGGGAAGAAGTGACGTGAGTTTGGGCCCCCTAGCGGCTTGCTCTGGACTGCAGGGATATATTCTTGAAATTATTCAAAAGGGGATAACTCAAGAACTGTTTGACGGATCGTCGTGATTTTGGTATGTAGGTAGCTTACGTGATGTTTAATATAATTATGTGACAATTATGCAAATATGGATGTAATTTACATAATTTATGGGGAAATTCTATAAATCAGCTGCATTCCATGATAGGACAATTGAAGCTAGTGACATTGGTAATTGACAACGAGAGAAACACAGGAAGATATTGATTATGTTAATAATGACTTAATTTGCATAATTAATGAGAAAGTTTTATAATTATGTAATGATAACTGCCTGGAATTTCATACTTGTGGTATTTGAAAGTTTAGTTGAGGTGAACATCATTAAACATAATTTATTCAAATCAGGACCTCATTTGCATAATTTATTAGGAAATGCTAGAATGCATTGTTTGTTGATATAAGACTGTCTTTTGGTTGAGATTATGATAAAATGATATAATTCATGAAAATTAGGTTCCTATTTCTTAAATCAGGGGGGACTAATCTAATCTATAATTTGTCAGTCATAAAGATTAACATCATTTGGCGAAGGTATGAGATCGGGGAACTCTAGTTTTATATATGAAAGCAGCTGAAAAGTGTTTAAAATTCGGGAGGTTGAACTGTTAGAAATAGCCTTCTTGGTAGCCTTCTTGGCCGTGGTGGTGTTTTAATGCGGCATTATTTGAGAACCTTAGCCCAAGTAAACACAATTGTGTATCAACGCGAGCACAAAAACGCAGCCACTCCGAGATATTTGCGGTGGAGGCTAGTTGGAAACACCATTCACAATTTTTAGGCAAGGTATACAAAAAAGAAGCAAAATACATGTTAGCTTACGCATTCTATACATGCAAAATTTATAGGCCTAACTCCTCCAGGTGTAACCAACCAATATGGCGGCCGTCTGTGACGTCACGTTACGTACCTGGTTTGTACTCCTTCCTCGTCCCTCCTGTCTCCTGTGCGAGGATGTTCTTGGCCAGCAGGTCGGCGTGCACGCCCGCGTTGTACGCCAGCTTAGTCTCCGGGATGTTGGTACAGTCGCCGATAGCGTAGATGTTTTTGGTCCCTTCCACCTCGAAGTAGCCGTTGACCTTCAGCGCACCCTTTTTATCCATACTGGACGCTGTAGAGGTGGCAAAATATTAAAAATATTAGTAAGAAATACTGATGGCCCAAACATTATTGTCAATATATGACGAAGGTAAGATTTCTCGTAATGACGTGCGATTTATCATTAATGATCTAGTAAGACAATCAGGGAAATTGTGTCATATAGGAGGATTCGAAGTTCTGGAAACTAGACATGTCATTTTAGTCTCCTTAAACGGAATTCTTTATTCGTACGATACTGTCCCGTGTTTTCCCAACCTTAATTTAACTTCGAAAAAATATATAGGACAAGTCGGAAGCTGTTGAAAGAAAATTACCTAGACTGTCCTTGTAGGCTGAATTGTTGACCCTGAGACCAGTACAGGGGATGACCAGGTCGGCCTCGATGTGTGAACCTTTGTTCGTCACTACCGTGGTTTCCTGTACGGTCTCCTTCGGCAACTTATCCAGGTTAGTCACTCTCTCTCCTGCAAAGGAAAAGGAAAGCGTCCAATGACAAGATACATATTGGATTTTGAGCGGCCGGCAACGTTACGAAAGTCAGAAACAAGGGATATCTGACAGCATTCATGTTTTAACTAGATATTTGTGGCAAAAAAAATCAAACGTCATATTCAAAAACTATGAACTTAACTTAGACATAGGTTTTTCTATTTAATTCTATTCAAAACCTTGAGATAGGGTTAAATCGGCAACACGTTTGGCTCACCCAGAAGTAGAGTCACTCCCATTTTGGTGACTTTATCTTTGACGGCATCCTGGAAGGCGGGTGTGGTGTTGGGATCTACCAACTTGTCACGGGGGTGGATCAGGCTAACCTGCAATTTTTTTTTCATATGACGGTCACAACATGCAAAACGTTGCATTATAAACTGAATTAAAGAAAGAGATTTAAATTACGAATCTCTGCTCTTGATTGAAAACAACGAACGTTTCCCTTGCCACTAGCTTTCAAACATGATTGGAAATTCTAATGTAATATGAAACAGGGATTTTAAGGTTATAATTATAAGAATTAGAATGACAATGACCTTGACATACCTGTTTGTCCTTGTAGTCCGTCGCTATCTCGGCGGCCAGTTCCGTACCCACGGCTCCTCCGCCAACTATTACAACCTTCTTAGCTAACTGCACCTGTTTTTCAGAAGACAAACAAAACAATCAAACTTTTTACATTGCTTTCAAATTGTGTCTTTAGAAATCGCGTTTAAATTTCTCTCCCTTCCTATTGTTCCTTTATCTGGGAAGTTTATTTTCACACTAAAATACATGGCAACGTAACGTGCTGTTCTGTACAGACGGTGAAATGCGCACTTTAGGCATCTTAACATTATTATTAAACATACCAACTAATTTAAACATGCATACAATTACTTTAAAGAAATTAAAGAATACAGAACAGTTGTAATACTAGGCTGTAATAATTGATGTAATAATCAATGTATTGATGTTGGGAGATTTTAGTTGCTCTCTTGCTATCTCTCTGCATTTAACAGAGATAACAAGTGGGTAGAAAAAAACACGAACTTATTCGCAAAATAAATGCTATTGTTAAGATCTAGCTTCACAAGATCACTCCGATTAATGGATAATATTAACCAAACACGACGAATTTTATAAGTGATCCATTGCAACCTGTTGTAAGAGGTGTTTGCTGCGTGCCAAGGCCTCCGACATGGAGGTGATACCGAACAGTTTCCCGGGGAACGGCCCGGTGGCGCCGGTAGCTATCACCAGGTGACTGTACCCCACGTTCTCCCCGGTAGACAGCGTCACGTTCTGTTCCGTAGGGTTAATTTTCGTCACCGCTCCCTGCTTGAAGTTGTTGCCGAAGGTTGGACCATACGGTATAAGCGTCTTCGGCGCAAAGCCTGTCAGAATATTAACACAGAAATCATTTGATAACCACAGAAATCGTTTGATAACCACAGCTAAAATGATTATTCTAAGAACAGACGTGGAGTTTTTGTCATGTTTGAAATTGTTACCAAACGTCGGAGTGTACAGTATGAATGTTGGCGCAAATCCTAGCTATAAGGACGTTCTAAAAGATCATTCAATAAATTCTTCAAGCAACAAAGCTTCCGATGACTACAGAAGGCCGTGATTGCATTTTGGTCATGATTCCAATCGATGGGAATGTAATCAAATCTAATGTCTGGAACTCGTATAAAGGTACTCCATTCTCTGCATACGTCGATTCAAGTCTGCTAGATCATATATAGAGTATGAAATTATAATAATCCTATAGATAGTCTATTGTGAAATTGTCTAAAGGACCATCTAAAATATTATCTAACTTAAGTAAAATTCTTGTCATTTTTAAATTGATAATTTCTGAAGATATTAGTCATCTATCATTTTGATATACCAAACATACCAAAGCATGTAGCTTGGATTTTTAGTCTTTTGTATTGTGTTGAGCGTTTACTAAAATGTTACATAGAAATATATTCTGTAACTGATTTTGACATTTTGAGAGCACACAGCTTTTGTGCCACAGTCATTAAAGTGTAAAAGCCTGGTCCGTACCCCCGTGGCATGCACACAAGAAAACAAGCCTCACCCATGTTGACATATGGCTCCGTGTCGGCCAGAAAAGAATACAGACCTTGACACGTCCGTCTAAGGTTACCCGTTATGGAAGAGGTCAACACAATCTATAGCTAGGTGAACTTTTGAACCCACTTGGATAGTATCAACAGTTTTAGCTGTGTGAATGCTGCTTCAACGCCAACAGCATTGACATAGAAAAATGTAAATAAGAGGATTAAGACAAAAAATAGCCTAGCTCACCAGGCTCCGCGACGGTCCTCTGAGCGGTCCTGTGTGAATGCTGCTTCAACGTCAACATGTATACAGTATTGCAAATATAGAAGCATGTAAATAAAGGGGTTACTACAAAAATTAGCCTAGCTCACCGGGCTCCGTGACGGCCCTCAGAGCGGCCAGGTTATGGTGCATCATCTCTTTAGGGTCGATGAGGGTGTACTTGGCTTTGTCGGTCAGGTTTTTGGCGAGTTGTACTCCTCCATAGCCGCCTCCAACGATAACCACGTGGATGTCCGGGCGATTTAGCAATGAAGGTCCTCCTCCCATCTTGAGCTCAGATTGTTAAATCTTAAGAAAAATGTTTAAGAATCATTCACTGTGGACGTATAGGGAACTGTGGTAACGTTGCCTCTCCCGACGTGATATTGTGTAAAATCGTTGAAGCAGGTAACCCAGATCTTTCTCTTTGATCGAGTGGCCCAACAGGTGACTTAGTGGGCCTTCGACGTTTTTGTGAAAGACAGAATCTTAAACAGACACATTACGATGTAACAAAAGGCTGTCTACTTTCTAACAGACAGCTATTAAATATTTGCTGACATACAGAGGCGAAAACATGTATTTACTCACCAAAATGCAACCATTCGAGTTAAGCATCAGTGATCATACGAAGCAAAATTATTACATCTGGTCCCGCGGCAGTCACTTAGTATTTACAGTATGATTAAAAGCTGGGTAAGCACACATGCATGTGTCTAATGGCACTGGTTACAATCTAGCTACTAGCTACCTTTATAGAACCCGTGAATATAAAGAAGGACCAAACAGACTGTAATTTTCAAAGCTTGGGTAGACTTCCGGTTTCTCAGTGACAGATGAATCGGAAAGGGGCGGGGCTTGAATTGTGGCCTCTTAAGGCGATACGAACACAAATCCAACGCCTGAAATTTGACTAAATTTGGATGCCCTGTTACCGACGGTCGAAAACCATGCACAGTGCAGTTTGGTCTACCAAGGATATTATGTTATGCCATTGAGTTTATAAACAAAAGGCGTCGCCAACCTGTCCCTAGATCTAGATATACAAAATCAATATCGCGATTACAACCACAGTGAAGAATAGACACGAAACACTGCCAACTGAAACACTGAAATTGGTTAGTTTACGTCAACTAAAAGCGTTAGCTTTAAGGACAGGCGAATCTTAAGGTATGACAGTACTCACCGCTCGTGAAGAAAGTACGTGTACACAAAGGAAGGCAGCTGACTGATACTGAATCAGGACAAGCTGCACAAAGGGTCAGAGTTCACGTAGAGCTATTTTTCATGACGCCCTTTCGCTGTTTACAAAGATTGACATCAGAGGCAAACGGTGGTATCGCGTGCAGTGATCACTGACGTACTGTGAGATGTAACGACAAGATTCAAAATCATCTGGTTAAGGTAGAATTTACAAATCATTACTGTGACCCAACGTGAACCTTGACCTTATGTTGTCATCAGGTCATCGTCCAGTAGGCCACAAACGATTGCATTACAACCATTTACTGAGCTGTATCATATCTATAATCGTCCAATGGCAGGATATAAATCATGATAGTAACATAATTATTTCTATATCGTCTCCTATATCTAACATTAAGGACTACAGACAGGAACGCAAACATTTTATTTCGTTTGTGTAAAATCATATATAATCTAATGTTTTTTACCATGACTCTGTATCTGATTGACATGTTTGGTTAAACCCGGTAAGACGGCTATGTGGGCGGTATGCGACCTACGTGACATCCAGGCCTGCCTGAATGGCTAACATTTCGGAGGTCCTGGCTTACAGGCAAACTCAGTTAACGCTAAAGTTATAGCATTAAATATTTATTGGTTACATTTTATTAAAGGCTCAACCGCTAGGATTGAAAATCCAACCTTCATCAGACTTGAAGTTCATGCTTCAATATGTTGCATGTATCAAGAAAGAAGATTATATACTTACATAAATAACTTCGGAAATTTCAGAAAAATGACAAAAAATTTAAGAAAGTTGGATATGCCGCGTTAGGTTTTATTCGACATTAGGTCTTATTCAACAAATTTATTTTATTGTTCTTATAATTACTTTCTTTATGTAGTTTTCCATACATAATGTACCATGTGCACATTGCCGTGCAATAAAGTTCTTCTATATGCTTACTACACAATTATACCAAACCCCTTTCACCACACTCACTCACTCACTCACTCACTCACTCACTCACTCACTCACTCACTCACTATCCGTTTAACGCCTCGTGGTCCACATAATTATATATATTATACATGTAAATGTATAATTATCCATATATGGGGAGTGAACCTTAATCCAACACTTTTATAATCCATACGCTTCATTGAATGATAAATCAACAAGCAGACTTTGGTATTTCGGTACAGTATACAATGATTTTACAGACATCACTTCATGTGCATAACTCTTATTACGTTAGTGTTAGATTAAGGTAATTACATTGTTACATGTAAAAATATATGCAGTGTGCTCACACAACCTGTGGCAAAACCTTCAGAACGGGTATAGAACTGGTGAGCCACAGTCGTACACACAGAAGCTGACGTGATGTCATCGTCATCCTCGAGAACGACGGGCGAACAACAACAAACTTGCTTGAGAGCAAATGCAGCAGATGGCTTCACCCTATCCCCCATACCGAAAATGGATCTATCCTACTGTAACAGTGCTAACTGACCATGCTAAATGGTCGTGCGACCTTTTAGTGTAATGGTTAGCGTTGGTGACCGCCAAGCGGACAACTCGGGTTCGATTCCCGGTTGTGACCTGCCCGCCCCTTTCGGTTTTTACAGTGATGGCTGCCAATAGTCTACACCCCCATGCAGAAATGGAACCTTCCAATGCCGGAAATAGCCAAAAAGCCCTATTTTACATAACTTTAAAGTGGTGTATGTCAAAATCGTGAATGACATTCTTTGGACATGTGTCCAAGGTATTCCCATACCAAATTTCAGGTCATTCGGATTTAATATTAGGGCACAGGAGCCAAAAATGTACATTTTTGGTCCGAAAATAGCCAAAAAGCCTCATTTTTTCCAATTTTAAAGTGGTGTATGTCAAAAGTTTGAATGACTTTTTGTAGACATATGTCCAAGGTATCCCCATACCAAATTTCAGGTCATTTGGTTTTAGTACCTGGGAACCAGATCTCAAAATGTATATTTTTTGCCTGAAAATGGGCAAAAAACCCAAATAAAACAATTTTTCAAAAAAATGAAAAAAACGCGTCGGGGTATTTGCCCACTCTACCTTCATGCCAAATTTCGTGTTATTTGGCCGGAAAATGGCAGAGATGAATCCATTTAAAGAAATGGCAGGAGAAGAAGAAGAAACATGAGGGAACACAATATGTCTTCACCACTTTGTGGTGAAGCCATAATAAAATGCGGTTGTGTCTACCTGATATGACGTGATTGACAAGAGCCCGGATCTCTGCTGTAATTGGTTGGTAGTATTCCGTCGCCTTGTTTTCCAAGTTGGCAAACCGGAAGTCCACCAATTCACCAATCGCTCCTGTTCGAGTCATGTAAAGCTGATGGGAGTCAACAGCAACAAAAAGTCAAAACTTGATAGTTCATCTGTATAGACGTCATCATGAAACAAATTTGAACTGTCATTTCCAAAAAAGTTCATGCAACTTACAACCAACTGCTCATGCGGATAATATCAAGTTAATTATGAACTAGAAAGGCCGACATTTGCTTGAGAGCAAATGCAGCAGATGGCTTCACCCTATCCCCCATACCGAAAATGGATCCATCCTACGATGGCTGCCAATAGTCTACACCCCCATGCAGAAATGGAACCTTCCAATGCCGGAAATAGCCAAAAAGCCCTATTTTACATAACTTTAAAGTGGTGTATGTCAAAATCGTGAATGATATTCTTTGGACATGTGTCCAAGGTATTCCCATACCAAATTTCAGGTCATTCGGATTTAATATTAGGGCACAGGAGCCGAAAATAGCAAAAAAGCCCTATTTTACACAATTTTAAAGTGATATATGTCAAAAGCGTGAATGGCATTCTTTGGACACGTGTCCAAGGTATCCCCATACCGAATTTCAGGTCATTCAGATTTAATATTAGGGCACAGGAGCCAAAAATGTACATTTTGGGTCCGAAAATAGCCAAAAAGCCTTATTTTTCCCAATTTTGAAGTGGTGTATGTCAATAGCTTGAATGAGTTTTTGTAGACATATGTCCAAGGTATCCCCATACCAAATTTCAGGTCATTTGGTTTTAGTGCCTGAGAACCAGATCTCAAAATGTATATTTTTTGCCTGAAAATGGCCAAAAAACCCAAATAAAACAATTTTTCAAAAAAATGAAAAAAACGCGTCGGGGTATTTGCCCACTCTACCTTCATGCCAAATTTCGTGTTATTTGGCCGGAAAATGGCAGAGATGAATCCATTTAAAGAAATGGCAGGAGAAGAAGAAGAAGAAGAAACACTAGAAAGGCCGACATTTGCTTGAGAGCAAATGCAGCAGATGGCTTCAACACATCCCCCATACCGAAAATGGATCTATCCTACGATGGCTGCCAATAGTCTACACCCCCATGCAGCAATGGAACCTTCCAATGCCGGAAATAGCCAAAAAGCCCTATTCTACATAACTTTAAAGCGGTGTTATGTCAAAATCGTGAATGACATTCTTTGGACATGTGTCCAAGGTATCCCCATACCAAATTTCAGGTCATTCGGATTTAATATTAGGGCACAGGAGCCAAAAATGTAGCCAAAAAGCCCTATTTTACACAATTTTAAAGTGGTATATGTCAAAGCGTGAATGGTATTCTTTGGACATGTGTCCAAGGTATCCCCATACCGAATTTCAGGTGATTCAGATTTAATATTAGGGCACAGGAGCCAAAAATGTACATTTTTGGTCCGAAAATAGCCAAAAAGCCTTTTTTTTCCAATTTTAAAGTGGTATATGTCAAAAGCGTGACTGACATTCTTTGGACATGTGTCCAAGGTATCCCCATACCGAATTTCAGGTCATTCGGATTTAATATTAGGGCACAGGAGCCAAAAAATGTACATTTATGGTCCAAAAATAGCCAAAAAGCCCTATTTTTCACAATTTTAAAGTGGTGTATGTAGAAAGCTTGAATTAGGTTTTGCAGACATATGTCCAACGTATCCCCATACCAAATTTCAGGTCATTTGGTTTAGTACCAGGGCTCCAGATCCCAAAACGTATATTTTTGCCTGAAATGGCCAAAAACCCAATAAAACAATTTTTCAAAAAAATGAAAAAAACGCGTCGGGGTATTGGCCCACTCTACGTCCATGCCAAATTTCAGGTCATTTGGCTGAAAAATGGCTGAGTTGAATCCCTTTGACTGTTTGGCAGGAGGAGAAGGAGAAGGAGAAGAAACATGAGGGAACACAATATGTCTTCACCACTTTGTGGTGAAGCCATAATGAGGGAACACAATATGTCTTCACCACTTTGTGGTGAAGCCATAACTATAGATCTATTGTTAAGTTTATTTTGTCCGTACTACTTGGTATCCTGGAGTCGCCCATTAATACTGTGTTATGCGGCCTTTACATTCCTTCCAAACCACACAACACGAATTGATGACGTCAGAAGAACACGTCTGCCTGACTGTTGAAATGGACGGAACCATAAGCAATGGATAGGGGTGATTGATTTGTTACCAAAAATTTAGCGAACAGCACATACACTCTTAGGTGTCTATGTGACGTCGGAACATATTATACGTAACGGAACATATCTAACATAATGTTACGTACGTACGTGATGTTTATACTTTGCGTTAACATATCATAACGTAATGTAACCTACGTTACGTTAACATAACATAACCTACGTTACGTTACCATAACATAACCTAAGTTACGTTAACATAACATAACCTACGTTACGTTAACATAACATAACCTACGTTACGTTACCATAACATAACCTACGTTAACGTAAGATGACCTGCGTTACGTAGACATAACCAGCGTTACGTTAACATAACCAACGTTACGTTAACATATAGATAAAACGTACGTGACGTATTGACTTAAAAACGTGACGTTTTTTACGTCCGTAATTTTGACACGGAAATTTCAGAACCATACGTACGTAACGTATCCACACGTTATGTCATACGTGAACGTTCACCTAGCATACGTAACGTATTGACCAACGTGACGTATTGACCCCAAACGTGACGTTTTTAACGTCTGTATTTTTGACACAAAAATGATGCCATACTCTGCACGCCAAGTCTGGCATCGTACGTTGCGCAAGTGATAACTAAGTTGTACGTGCTTACAACGTACGATCTATGTGCGATTGCAACTTTACCGTAAGGAGGCCGTACTCACACATGCTTCTTCCGCGCGTCGCTCGTACTCGCACGCACGGGTGGTGAATCCGCAGACCGCACGTAGGAAAAGTTTTACATGGACTTAATGCTCTACGGCGTGTCTGCGTGC